TAATAATGGTATACCTATTGGAATTGGTGTTGTATGTGGAATTGTGTTAATTGGAATGATATCTCTTGTTGCATTCTTATTATTAAAAAGACGACGCGAAAGTTGCAAAAACTAGCATAGGCCCTCATAATATTTACTAAACATTTAATTTTTATGCATAAATTTCATATAATTTTTCACGTATTATAAATAGTGAAATGTGATTTAATAATCACCCTAGAAACAATTAAAAGAAAAGTTTTTTTTTACATGAGTTACGTGTAGTAATTCCTTTAAATTCTGTAATTTTATTTACATAACACGTATATTGGACATTGGAAAGAACTTATATTGGTTCTTACAATTATCATTATATAATATATTTAATATACAGTCAGACCTCGTTATAGTCACTCTTGATATAGTCACAACCTTGATATAATCACGCTATTTTTTAACTCGAGCTAATATAAAACATATAAAAATTGACCTTTATATAGTCACTACTTTTTATAATCACGGATTCTTGTTTCCCAGGCGGGTGATTATATCGAGGTTTGACTGTATTTTAAATATGTGCATAACATTTGCAAAAACAATTATTAAATTTGGTTTATATTGATGAAAGAGTTTAATACAAGAAAGAATATTTAAAAATTAAATCATAATTCTAAAGTATTTTTATCATTATTTTTCAAATAATTATTAAATAAAAAACATTATAGTAAACAATTTTAATTTGTGTCTACCAGTATAAAAAAAAAAAAATTGTAAATTCAAATGTTCAAAATTTTTGTAAAAAATACTGTTAAATGTTATGATTACCTTTTTTATGTTTATTTGTATTAGTTTTATAAATCCCTTCAAAATATCGTACGTCAACAACATATTCTGTTAAAAACAATTGTAATGAATCAAGTCTTCTTTTCAATTCATAATTATTTAAAGAAGTGGATTTTGGACGATTGACTAATGGAATATATTCCAGATTATCCTTCAATTTGGCTTGTACTGAACGATTTATTCCACATCCATATTTCTGAATAATTCCCCATGGTTTAATAGAAATGGTACCTAAAATATAAGTTTGATATTTAATAATTAATAATAATTAACAATTATTATATTTATATTTAAGTCAAATAAAAATTTAATATATAATGCTCTAAATCTAAAACTTACCAAAAAGCAACGCATAAATGGATGCGGCAAATCCCCATGCACCTCCAATTAAGCCAATAGAAGATATAACCTAAATTTTATCCATTTTTAGGATAAACAATCTTTAATTTTAAATATTAAAATAGGTTAGGGAGATTTTAAATACTTACAGTTTTGGTTCTTTTTTTTATTATTAAAGGATGAAATAAGTAAATTTTTTATTAAACTAAAACCTTATTTAATATATTATACGATACCTTTTATCTGTCTCAACTTGAACAGTGTATGTTGGTTGTTCAATTGTCATTTTTAGAAATAATCCTGGTGTGTCGTTTAGAAGTGGAAATGTTTCTTATAAAATACCATAAATAAATGTTAGTTTAATATAATTCGCAAATTACATTACATTATAAAAATATTTACCCATTGACGATGTGTAATATGGTAATTGTAAAAGTTTAGATGAAAATCCCATAAAATTTTCCCAACTTGGAAGCATAATGTCTTTTCTTCTTCTTGTTAATTTAAATTTATAAGACTGTGAATGAAAAAAATATATATTATTAATAAATCTATATACTAAGATTATTAATACTCGGTGAATCAAGAAGAGAGTTTCAGGAATAACTCGATTAGCTCAACTTTTATAAATATTTACATTGTATACTGAAATAGCATAGGTATTCAGAACATCAATCGTGTTAATAAATCTTGAATTTGAGCCAAGTAAATCTTTATGAGATAAAAATACTGAATTAACATATTCAGCATAGCCAATATCGGGAACTATTTTTTTTTAAAAAAGGATAAATAGTTTATTAGGTTGATCTATAGTATAGACGGGCAATATAGAATTATTATAGGATCATAATTATAAGATATTGGTCATGCAACGGTTAATATCATGAAATTTGTTTTGTCGGAGCAAATGGTTGGCTGACAAGCGGCATATTTCAGCCGGCAGAACAAATTTTATGATATTAATCATCGCATGATCCAATATCGATGTTATCGTGCAATTATGATGATTTACAATTCATTATTGGCTAACTGAGTTTTAATTTGAGATTGTTATGCTTATGTAATAACGTACAAAAAATAACAGGAAGAAAAATATCTATGATCATAAGATTTTGCACGATAACATATAATATGGACGTCAACTAACCTGTAACTATCAACGAAAGTGTAGCATATGGTAGACCCAAATAATCACTTGCATTAAAGGTAGGATCATTTACATAAATTTTAAATTCCATTGAACTTATTCCA